CCAGTCCCTGGCCCAAAAGCTTCACAGACTCACCATGTTTGACTCTCCCGACAACCCTGACAGAATTATCACCCCATTTTAGAAATACAGAGACTGAGGCCTAAAGCCTGTAACTGGCTGGCCAGAGTCCACGGCACAGTGACAGGCGTGGACACAAACTGGTCTACCTGACTCTTTCACCTGATGGTCTTCCCACTCGTCCAGGTCTCTACCCCAATGATTAATAGTTCAATAGTTGACAGGATGTTTGCATAACCATTACAGCAAGTTTCAGAAACCTACAAGAGTTTGTAAAGGAATCCTTTTAGCCATAATATAAATTGTGGTAAGAATTTCACAAAGGAATCCCTCTGCCTCGTGTGAATGATCAGGGGCACACGGAGAATAATCACAATACTCTTCATTGTTATTCTATCAGACCATGAAAGGGCCTGCAAGAGGAGCTCAGCTATGGAGCGGCAGGTACTTTGCAAACTCCATAATGAAAAACACCCCAATGACCTCCCAAACACTCCTCAATTCAGCCTCACTTGAAAGAAAACGTAAAGGTAACACTCTAGCTAATCCAAGACTTGAGATTAGGAGGAAAATAATCAGTGCTCAGGTCAGCTGAGAAATGCATCCTTCAGAGATCCTTATCTAGAGTAACCTGATTTGCAACATTCAAGCCATGATATGTTTAAGCCATAAACAAGACTGTCACCATGAGCACAGGGGAAATACTACCCCGTTAGCCAAATTAGGAATGCAAAGAGGAAGACTCATCATACATCATGATTACAAATGGTTTAAAATATGTAAATATAGGCAAAGTAAACCTAAATAAATGTGGGAAATGGTACTGGATGAATCGCACTTAATTTTACTCCTTTTTTCCCCCAATGTTAAAGATTATGCTATGGTGTGCTTACAATGAAAAAGAATTATAAACATAACACCAACAGAGAGGTCTAAACTGATAGTTAAGTTCAGAGTCTTTTAATGACAGAGACAAAGGAAAATAAAAATAAATTTGTTCTATAGAGGATTTAAATCTCAAAGGCAAACTGGAAAAGCTGGCTTATAACTGGTAAGAGACCAGAGTATGTAAGTAACCACCCGTATGTGGTTTGGGAACAGGCTGGAAGCTGGAGGGGCCACAGCAGGAAAGGGATGTCCTGAGAGATCAGATGTCTCCTTGTAGCCAAGGAGGACCAGTGCTACACAAAGGACCAGAGTCCCCACCCATTCTCACAGGTCACTGGCCACATCACAGACAGACAGATGAAGGCACTGACAGGGGAGGAGGGTAAAGAATCAGATAGAGTCTGGCCAGTGTGGCTCAGCGGTTGAGTGTCGACCCAGGAACCAAGAGGTCACCGTGGTTCGATTCCACGTCATGGCACATGCCCGGGTTTCGGGTTCGATCCCCCGCAGGGGGTGTGCAGGAGGCAGCCGACTGATGATGTTCTATGTTTCCATCTCTCTATCCCTACCCCTTCCTCTCTCTCTTAAAAAAAAAAAATCAATAAAGACATATTAAAAAAAAAAAAGAATCAGACAGAAAACAGAGCCTTGGGTATTACCCTGACATACCTACTAGGAATTACCGCAGCTGAAACAAAAAGGCTATTCTCCAAAAGGACAGGACATAATTAAAAACCAAAAGAACAGACCAATTTGCCCTTGAGTGTGGGAGGTAAGGAAATGATACAGCAGGGGTCCTCAAACTATGGCCCGCAGGCCACATGCAAACACAAATATTGTATTTGTTCCCGTTTTGGTTTTTTACTTCAAAATAAGATATGTGCAGTGTGCATAGGAATTTGTTCATAGTTTTTTTTAAAACTATAGTCCGGCCCTCCAACGGTCTGAGGGACAGTGAATTGGCCCCCTGTTTAAAAAGTTTGAGCACCCCTGTGATACAGAATGCCTGCTCCAGGGCCCAGATGCTCCTGGCTGCTATAATCAAAAGAAGGGCCCCCTGCAGGCACCATCCTGCCACACTGGTTGCGGGCCGTGGGCAAGTTTCTTACCCTCTGAGTCTCAGCTACCTCATCTGCAAAATGGGCCTACCTCATCAGGTAGTTCTGAGAATTCAATGCTTTAATGTTTCTAGCGTTTTACAAACTACCCCAGCTGTATACTTTAAGCCTTTCAAAGAAAGAAGTTCACCATCCCTATGTAAACCACAAAGGAGGCAGTAACTGCGAGTGGTTAAGTATAGACTCCGGAGTCAGATGCTAGAGTTCCAAGCCCAGCTCTGCCACTTCCCAGCAAGTTAGTTAAGCACTAGGAGCCTCGGTCTCTTACCTGTAAAATGGCAAGAAAGTACCTGAATCACAGAGTTACTAGTCCCTGAAAAGCCCTTAGCACAGGCCTGGCATGCAGCCAACATTCAGGTGCACTATGAAGTCATACATAAGAACTTCAGCCCCTGGCGAAGTTTCCACAGGTGACCGACTTCAATCGATTCAGCACCTCGTCCAGTACTCACTAATTTAGGAGCTGTTTCCGCTCTCAGATGCCCAGAGGCCTCCAAGCTCCCCAAAGCCAGAGGCATGGGAGCAATGAAGGGCTGTCCACACCTCACTGGGCACTTCTGTGACGGCTGAAGCTTCTGTGCTGAGAACATGTTTGTGTATTTCTTGTGCAAATTACAAACCACTTTTCTATGTGAAGGAAACAGGCACCATTGAGTGCCAAGAACAGCATCACCAAATACTGTTCCCTGAAGGAAGATCTCTGGAAGACAGCTCAAAATCCAAGCGTTCTGGTCTTTTTTGTTCTTCTTTTAAAAGCCATTCCACTAAGTCTGGTTATCTGATTTTACAGAAACTGAAAGCTACACTTGAGAGAGACCCAGGTAGGACTAGGCTGCTCACTAGCCACGTGAACTCAACTACCTGGAGCCTTCACGTCTTCATCTATAAAATGGATATAATGCTAACTGTAGAGACATTTTGGGGATTAAATGAAATTATACACATAAAGCACCTAGATCTATACCAAATACATGAAGCACACTCTGTAAAGAACAATGAAAATTATGCTGAATCCTACGGAATGGCTGTTTCTCTAAGTCAAAAACAGTGACCAACTGCCTGGGCTGGGCAGCAGCTCTTGCTGATAGAGAAGAGGGGAGGTTGAGGTTCCCCAGGGAAAGGCTGGGGCAGAAGAGCAGGCATTTACTGGGCCATACAGAGGCATTTCACCTCCCAGACAAATGGCTCAGCTGCATCAATGCACACCATGTGAGTCAGCACTGACGGGCAAAGACAGTGCCCACGGAGAACGTTTTATTTTCAATCCTCGTGAGAATCTAAAGTATGAGGATCTGCAGCCATTGGGTATGTGGGCAAGGAGTTGCACAAACCTCAAAAGTCGCCGAGGGCACAGAATCATCCTAAGGTGATGACCCTAATGTATCTGATCATGATTAAATTAACCCGCCATGAAAGAAGATGGTGGTTTAGAATACATTTCAGAGGCGGGAAATGCTTAAATCCATAAAGGTTAAACATTTTAAAAGTTTGTACATTTAAGAATGATCACAGAACAGACAAATGCATAGAGACAGAAATCAGAGTAGCGGTGGCCAGCGGGTGGGGGGAAGGGGGTAAAGCTTAGGGGGCGGGTAACTGCTTAATGGGCACAGAGCTTCAGTCTGGGGTGAAGAAGTTCTAGAACTAGAGAGTGGTGATGGTTGTACAACACTGTGAATGTACCTAATGCCAATGAACTAGGCACTTTAAAGTGGATATAATGGTAAATTTCATGTTATGTGTATTTCACATAAAGCACAAGAAAGGAGTAGATACTAGTAATATTTGAGTGCTTATTATACTACGTACTTAATGTGCAGTATGTCACAACAATCCTACCAGGTAAGTGTTGTTATTACAGAGGGGAACTGAGGTAATGTGGTTTTCCCCAGAATTGAGAGGTGAGGCCAGGATGTGAAGGTAAGCTGCCACCTCCAGGCCTGACTCTGCAGCCCTCAGGGCCAACAGGCTCTTAGAAAGCTCACTTATTTGAACTGCTCATGGTTGGACAATGTTGGAAGCTGAGCTTCAGTAAAAGGTGCTGCTGATAACTTCAGAAAATCAACAGGAGAGGCCATACAAATCCTGACTCTTCCGAGCAGGTTCTTAATAAAACATGGGAATACTGAATTGCTCCGGAACACTAAAACATACCTTCATTCTTCATGATGTAGTTGACAATTCGTCCCACGGTGTCACTATTTTCATTCATACTGTCATTCAACTCTGAAAGAGAAAGGGGAGGGAACGATGTTACCATTGGTCACCTGCACTGAGTCAATGAGACATTCCATCTTAGAGCCCGAGATGGAATAAGTCACTACATATTTACAGTGTTTGTGACTTATGAACATGTATCAGTCACAATCTGATAATTATTCTACCATGAAAAACTGGAGAAGACATAGATCTAAATGAATGAAACTTGAATTACAGAGCGATGCAATATAGGCACTAAGGTTACAAAGTCAGAAACATTCCTTTATGGCACCTGTGACATATCACTGAACAGTCTTCAGAAGCTCAGCCGATCACCCAGGGTGCTGAGCACCCAGGCTTCCTTCCTTCAGCCCTGACTGCCTGAGGCAGAGCACGCAGCGACTCCCTGCTTCCACTGGATGTGAAGAGCATCGCAGTGGTCCATCAGTCTCGTCTCAAGTCCAAGCACCCACTCACTTTCCAAGGCAACCACTTCATGCGTTGATATCAGTCCATACCACTATTATTTCTCTCTCAACATTGTGTTAAACCCTTAGGGGAAATGGAAAAAAGCTAACTGAAAGGAAAAAAATTATTCTTGGATTATTTTAATTGCAGTGGAACTGTAGGGTTTTAATTTGTTTTTTTAATTGGGTAATGTAATATTCATCCGTGTTTATAAGACTCTCCTTTCTTTCAAATACACTTCCAGATGATCTTAATTTTGGCCATGGTTATTTGTCTACAAAATCAGTTTACTCTGGCAGACTGTATAGGTGATAGTCTTTGGAAAAAAAAAAAAAAATCAAACCTCCACTCTGAAACTGATCTGTATAATTTGTTTCAATAAACAAGGAAGAGGAGGGCTGAAACACTCCATGACAGTTCACAGAGCATGAACCTGGAGAAGTGCCTTTTCCAGCACAGACGCTTCCTCCGTGAGGATGCTCCTCCGTGAGGATGCGTGTCTGGTGGGCCAGTGCAAATGCTGACTGCTAAGCCCACCTGCAGAGCGTCTAGGAAGGAGAAGGTGGGAGGCTCCGCTGTCTGTTGACAAACACCCAGCTCTGATTTGCTCATAAGTTTGCTCATGACTCATCCTGCAGCCGAGTTCTTTCTCTGCTTCAAAGGTCAGTGGGGGTGGGAAAAACCAACAGGCCGGCAAGCTGGCAAGGAATGAGGAAGCTCCCCCCACTCCATCCTTGGGCTGGCTTGAAGGGTGACCTACTTACTGCAAATGTCACCTTCTACAAAAATTGCCCTTTGAGAAGCTGAAAGGGACATGGAGAGTTATCTAGACTCCCCAAGACTCAAGTTAGGAAGCGCCCCTAACAGATGGTTAGAAAGAACATCCATGGAGAAAACAGAATTTCACCTCTTAGGTGTTTCTAAATACCACCCAACAACTCCTCGTTAAGAGGAAAAGGTGAGCTGCCCTAAAGTTAATGCTAAGGCACTAGTTTGCCGTTCTTATACTGCACTATTCACACAATCACTAATTTAAACATCATAAATTCCAATCTCCTTGATTTAACACAGAGCTCCCCTAGCCAAAGTAATACCCCCCAAATGCTGAGATCTACTGACTTTTCCCATCATTTTAATTAGAATCTAATTCAATAATAGTAGAGAAAGTTAATATTTACAGAGTGGCCATCTGTGTCCCACATCACATCATCTTCTCACAATAATCCTATGAGGTAGAGATACTATACTCATACAAATGAAATAAAATTTTAATTAAATTAATTTAAATTAAATTTCAGTTAAATTATACATAGCAGAGATTCAAAGCACATGTAACTTGCCCAAGACCACAAGACAAGTAAGAGTATTTACCTGGTAAGTATTTAATAAATGAAAGCCAGGTTTAAAATGGTAGGTGTTATTATGGTGACATCTACACTAACACTTACTATACCACCTGCGGTTAGCATGCATCATCTTGCTCACAGGGATGGAATATGTGTGTTTGTGTTTGTGTTTGTGTGTGTGTGTGTGTGCGTGTGTATGATTGTTTTCTTACTTAAAAATCAACCCAACCCACACTCCCATAAAAAGAATCCACAGCACTCACCTATCTTTTCAACCTTTTCCTCCTCCGCATCTTGCTCAGCTTCTGTAGTACAACGATAGCCTTTCTTCTTAAGCAGGTGGCAGATGAGGACACCAAAGAGCCCCATGATGAAGAACACGGGGACAAGCACATATGCAATATATTCTGGGTGTCCACTCCCAGCACTGTCAGTGGGCGACGGGGTCGTCTCTGTTTTGGAGTGCAGCGTGTGGCTGCCACCACTGTCTGTAGGAAGAAACCCGCATGGCTGCGTTAGACATCTGCAGGGAGCAAGGAGAACCCCACGACTTGGGAAATGTTCACATTAAATCCGAGTCTGTGCCCAAAGCCATGGCCATCCAGACACTGGTGGGTCTGGCAGTTCAGGCACACAGGTGAGGGCCCCATCCTGTTCCTGCTACTCATGAACTGGGTCCCACCCTGGATAATGTTTTTAAAACCTCTCCAAGCCATCCTCTGCTTCTTCACCTCTAAGAGCACCTACACAGCTTGGAATAAAAGCCCAGTGAGCGAAGTGCCCAGCACAGAGCACACACATAATCACTGGGTGTATTACTGGCTCAGACTCAGGAGACGTGGGTTCACGTTCAGGCTCCACCTCTTAGCAGCTGTGTGACGCTGATCGATGACAAAAACGATGCTTCGGCTCCACTGTGAAATGGGCATACTAATAGTACCTACCCACCCTTCTACGCTTGTTACAAAGATGAAGTAAATTAATACATGTGAGACATTTAGAACCACTTCTGCAACATAGGAAATGCTCACCACATGCCACCATTCAGGGCACCTATGACATATCACTGGGCAAGCAGAACAAAGAACCTTGTCTCAAGGAGCTTCCTAGGATTTAGTAAACTGACAGATGTACAGTATGAAAAGGGAGAAAACCCAGGATGGCATTAAGATGTTGGCCCAGGGGTGCAAGCATAAAAATGAAAACATAAGCATTTGTTTATTCATTCACTGATCCAAATGAACATTTACGAATGCCCTTTACGTGACAAGCTCCCTGCTGGGAGCCGGATAGAGAAAGTGATAAACAACGTGGCTTAGCCAGTGCCACCTTGGAGCTTGCAGGGTAGCACCAGAAACAGCCATCAAACAAGTCAACTCAGGGCAGGTCATGGCAGATTCGGAGAATGCCATGGAAGACATGCCATTTTCAGAAGAAAAACATGACAGTGAGTACCTATTTTATGACTTCAAAAATAGGGCAGCTGGGAAGGGAACATCTTTTGGGGGGAAAAAAGGAGAAATATGCTTTTAGATGTGTCAAAGCATATTGGACTCACATCGGGGCAGCCGGATGTCTGGGCAGGCCAGCAGAGTGTCAGTTAAGCTCCTCATAGGAAAGTAAGTAACCTAAGAAATGGCCAATTAAAATAACAGATAAAGAACAAACTGTATAGAAAACCAGCAAAGTACCAGTTTTCAGACACAAAATGCAAGAGAATTATCAAAGAAAGGGGTTCAGGTAGGATGAGGACTAAAGAAAAATGTGGGCTTTGACAGAAATGAAGTCTCACCATTTGGAATACTCAGAATATACAGTGATAAAGTGAGGTTTTCTACATCAAAAAGATCCATACATGTTGCTTAAGAAACCCAGAAATCGGAAAGCTGGATACATTTAATTTCAAGTGCTCTCAAGAGTATTTTGGTGAAAAAAGAACCTGTGTTATAATGATTACACAGGGACAGATACATTTCATCACTGCAGCAAACAGTACCAAACAGGAGCCTAATTTGCAAATCAGGGGGCAAAGAACAAAGCCACCTCTCTTTTCACATGGAAATATCCATTATCTTTGAACTTGAACATGAAAAGAAATTGCTGGTTTCTTAAGTTAGTAAAAAGCTACATTCATTATAGGCAACCTCTAGAATTTCAGGTAACCTGTATATTTTTTAACCTGTATATTTCAACCTGTTTTTTATTGATTTTTCTTCCAAGAATCACAATAATTAATGAATGAATGAATGGATGAACACACACACTAAATATACGCAAATATATCACCTAAATGAGGGTTTGGCCTCAAGCCTTAAGTTCAGAAAAAAACAGAAACATTCCTTTAACTCCTTTTATAATTCTACATAAGTTTTACTTACTGATTCCTTTTTACTAACACATTCCATACACCAGGCGTGGGTGAAGCAGGCAGCATGCTAAGACTGAGAGGGTGTTACTCAGAATCATACTGTTCCAGTCTGGAGGGATACCTTCTCTTTGGGGAGCAGTAGGAGACAGGGATGGAAGCAGAGGAGTTGAAAATTGGAGCCAGACAGCGCCTTCTGAATGAGGTGGTTGAAACTGTGTCTTTATCATTAATTTGACATCTAGCAAACCCTTGCAAATACTACATATTTACAGTGTTTGTGACTTATGAACATGTATCAGTCACAATCTGATCATTATTCTACCATGAAAAACTGGAGAAGACATAGATCTAAATGAATGAAACTTGAATTACAGAGCGATGCAATATAGGCACTAAGGTTACAAAGTCAAGACTGCCTGGAATAAATAACAGCTTGGCCACTGACTAGGCTTGTTACGTTGGGCAAGTTATTTAAGAAACTGCACTCAGTTTCCTTAACTGAAAAATTGAGTCAAAATGACTGTACCTTTCTATGATGATTTCAAAACTCGGCCCCAACATACTCTGTGCTTTGCCTACCCAATAGAGTATGTTGGAAGTGATCCTTTGTCAGCTTCCAAGTCCTGTCTCTTGGGACACTTGCTTTTGGGACCCAGCCACCATGCTGTTAGGAAGCCCAAGCTGCCCTGAGGAGAGAAACCAGTAATAGTCAGCAATTTACCAATCATGTAACTGAGTCATCTTAGAAGTAGATCCTATAGCCCCAGTTGCTGCTCTGTGGAGCAAAGATGAGCTGTTTCTGATGAACTCTGCCCAAATTGTAGATTTCTAAGCAAAATAAATGGTTGCTATTGTCTTAAATCACTAAGATTGGGGATAATTAGTTCTACAGCAATAGTAACTGGAAGATTACCTCATGGAGTCATTGTGAGGATTAAATATATTAATAAGTAAAGTATGTAAAAGTGTCTCAGAAAAGATAAAACACTATAGAAGTGTTTAGTCATTGTCTTGACAGGAACAGCACTATCCAATATAGTTACCACCAGCCACAAATAGCTATTTAAATTTAAGACAATTAAAATTAGATAAAATTAAAAATTTAGTTCCTTGGTTGCCCTTACCACATTTCAAGTGTTCAATAGTCACATGTGGCTAATTGGCTACCATATTGGATGGGTCAGATAAAGAGAATATTTCCATCATTCCAAAAGTTCCATTTGACAGCTCATTACAGACTATCAAGAATCACTAAAAAGCAAAATGTTGACTGGAGATTCTATTGTGGTCTACCTTAGCAATTCAATGAAGAATAAATTATAAATCATAAGTAACTATTCACAGATAATGCCTAAATCATTTGTTAACATAAATAAGTTTAGCTTTCCTTCAATTTACACTAATAATTTGCTTAAAGACACTGTGTCCACCTTCCTCCTTCACTGCCAGCTGAAGTGCATCTGAATTATGAACAAATTGAGTCCAAATTAATAGCAAAGGTTGTTGCAGCATCTATATATAAAAGCCTAAGCGACCCGAATGCCGAAACAACCAGAACGGCCAGTCACTATGATGCGCACTGACCACCAGGGGGCAGATGCTCAACGCAGGAGCTGCCCTCTAGTGGTCAGTGCACTCCCACAGCCAACCTCCTGCAGTCTCTCCCCTGGTCGACAGGCCCCAGCTGGCAGCCGGCAGCCACCAGCCACCAGGAAGGAAGGCCCTGATTGGTCCTGATCACCAGCCAGGCCTAGGGACCCCACCCGTGCACAAATTTCATGAACTGGGCCTCTAGTTATTTATAAAAGTCAAAAATTGGCAGCATCTGCATGTTTGACAATGGGATAGTAAGAAAATACCTAAGTCAATCATAGTCTACCATTTGATATAATAAAATGCATCATTTGAAACTATTTATGAAGATATGGGAAAACACTTATGATCCAATGTTGAATTTTATAAGTTAGATTCAAAATCTTACATACAGTATGACCCAACTAGTAAAAAAAAAAATGCATAAAGGCATAAAACATACTGGGTAAGTGGATAATAGGATAATTTAAAATTTTATTTGTATGCTTTTCTGTAATTTTCCAAAATTTGTACATACATATTACTTTTGTACCAAGGTGGTCAATGCTTTAAAAAAAAAAGATATAGAGCAGAGGTTGTCAGCCAGTTGGGAGTCACAGGCCTCTTTGTAAACCTATTGGATGCTATAGTTCCTATTCCAAAATTTTGCCTCCAATTTTTGTGAGCTCTGAAACCTAGTTAATATACAAGCAAGTGACATGACACAGATGATGCCCACATTTTTGCTTGAGCAACATGGTGGACATTGGTTTAATTCACTGAAATTAGAAATATCTGAAAAAAAAGTTTGCTTGGTGTTATGGGTTGAATCTTGCCACCTTCCTAATTCATAGGTTGAAGTCCCAACCTCAAGCATCCTTGGTCATTACAGTGGACCCTAATTCCACATGACTGGAGAAATGTGTAGACAGACATTCACATAGAAAAACATCATGTGAACAAAAAAGGCAGACATTGGGGTGAGGCTTCTACAAGCTAAAGATTGCCAGCAAACCATCAGAAGCATGAAACTGATCCCTCCTCACAGCCCTCAGAAGGAAACAACTCTGCCAACCTTGATCTTGGATTTCTAGCCTCCAGCACTGAGACAATACATTTCTCTATTTTAAGCCACCCACTTTGTGGTACTTTGTTACGGCTCTAGCAAACTAATATACTTGGCGTGGAGAGGACAGGATCACGAGCTCGGTTTTGAGCATGTAGAGATAGAGGCAAACAGGGGGACATTGAGATGGAAATATCTATTGAGCAATTAGATCTACTCCATGAGGAAGCAGAGGAAGAGAAGCCAGGGGGCCACCCTAGGACACAAAGGAAGGAGTTTCTCGAAGGAATGAGAAGTCGGCTAGGTAAAATGCTGCAAGAGAGAACTAAAATAAGAGGGAAATGTAAAATGGTGTAGGTGCTATGGAAAAAGTATGGAGGTTCCTCACAAATTAAAAATAGAACTACCATATGATCTAACAGTCCCGTGTCTGGGTATTTATCCAAAAAAACTGAAAACAGGATCTTGAAGAGGTATCTGCACTTTATTGCAACATTATGCGCAATAGCCACGCTATGGAAACAACCTAAATGCCCATCAGTTAATAAATGGTTAAAGACAATGGGGTGCACACACACAATCGAATCCTAGTCAGCCTTAAAAAAGAAAGAAGTCCTGTCACAGGTGACAACAGGATGAACCTGGAGGACATTATGCTCAGTGAAGTACACCAGTCACAGAAGGACACAGACGGCCTGATTCCGCTTATACGAGATACTAAAATAGCTAAACTTTTAGAAGCAGAGGATATAACACTGGTTGCCAGATATGGGGGAGAGGGGAAGTGGGAAGTTTTTGTTCCTGTGGGTATAAAGTGTCAGTTATGCAAGATGAGTACATTCCAGAGATCTGCTGTCAACATTGTCTATAGTTAACAACAGGGTGTGTACGCTTCAACATCTATGAAGAGGGTAAATCGCATGTTAATGTTCTTACCACAACGAAAAGAAAAAGGACCTAAGAAGTATCTTTATAGACAGAGAATGTAGAACTAAGACAAATGAGGCCACACAGATATTTCTAAGAACACGTGGGAAACCTTTAGTTTCTAATTTAGGAAGCAACTTGGAATTTTTTTTTTTAATTTCTCTTTGCTGTATTTTACTCCCTGTTTGTCTATCATTTCCTGAAATAAACTTTAAAATCCTAACATAAATAAATACATACATACATAAAATGAATAAATACATTTTAAAAATAAAGTAGGGCCCTGACTTGTTTGGCTCAGTGGATAGAGTGTCGGCCTGCGGACCAAAGGGTCCCGGGTTCGATTCCGGTCAAGGGCATGTACCTTGGTTGCAGGCACATCCCCAGTAGGGGGTGTGCAGGAGGCAGCTGATCGATGTTTCTCGCTCATCGATGTTTCTGACTCTCTATCCCTCTCCTTTCCTCTCTGTAAAAAATCAATAAAATATATTAAAAAAATAAAAATAAAGTAGGAAGGAAAAACAATGCAGAGGAGACCCGTTTGGCCTTGGAGGGAGCAGTTTTTCAATAGACTTAAGGTAAGGCAGGACTCGCTGGGTTGACAAATACAGACGGGACTCAGTTCACTCTTTCTAGGCGCCAAGTATGAGCGAAAGGGGTAGAGGAGGGGAAGGCATTTTGATTTGGAGCTTTGTTGTGGTGGTTGTTTCTAAGTGGCTGAACCCAAGTATTGACATGCAGAAAGAGCAAATGGGAGAGTGAGAGGGAGTAGGGAGTTATAACCTAGAAGAAGCCAGAAGGAATGATTTCCACGTGAAGGAGACAGATTAAACACTTGACTAGGGAAAAAAAGACACTTGTTCCAGAAGCAGGGTGATGAGTTAGAGTCCAGTGTAGTGGGCATAAGGAAGTTGAGGGAGCAGGTGCCCAATACCCTCTATTTTCTCTTAACATATAATAGGAGATGGCATCTGTTGAGAACTGGAGCAGTCAGGGCAGAAGAGGGCTTGTGGGTTCAGTGAGGCTACCCAGAGAGATTGAAGGAATGGGAGAGGCCCGTGAAAAAAACTCCAAAGGCACTGGGGCACAGCTGAACTGCACCCCAAGTCTCCAATTGGGCTGACCCATGCAGGGAGAGCCATGGGAACTGGAAAGTCCAGGACAATAAAGGACTAAGCAGTCAGGGTCAGACAAAGTAGGCTGAGCCAGAGTAAGGAAAGGATCAGTTTGGGGTGGGAAGGTTCCAGAAGGGAGGGAAGTTTGGTGCAGAGAGTTTATCACTCTTGTTACTACTAACAGCAGCTACCCCATGTATGGAGCATTCATGAGCCAGCACTATGCAAAGAACTGAATCTCCACCATAAACCTATGACACAGTTAGTGGTTTGATACCCATGTTACAGACAGAATAGGAGGCACAGAAAGGTAAAGCAAGCTTCCCAAGGACACACTCAGTAGCAGTGCCTGGATTCACACCAGGCAGTCTG